AAAGCCAAATTTCTCTCAGAATCAAGGCCGAAGGGTTAAGATATCCATAGTACCGAGCGACAGGGCTTACAACTCATGGATTCTGGATGTTTAAAAAAAATTATAATGTAAACATAAATCGCTTGCAGTAAAGAACAAAACCAGAACTAGAATACGAGCATACAGCATTACAGGCAAACCGGATTAGCGGCAAACCACAAAACATTCAAACTAACAATGGAATGTTACAAAATGAAGGGACGTTCGCAACGCATTACCGTTATGATGTTACCTTCTTTAGTTACAAATCTCTTTAACTTTTGTAACAGAATGTATCTGCACATAAGACCACCATAACTCTATCGCAGTCTGATAGATAATTGTCATCACAGAATAAATAATCAGTATTTACATGAATTTACATATCTAGTTATGGGGTTGGTTTTCCTCCGGACACCTCCGTAGGTGCTCAGATTCCCCCCTTCAACATATACATTAGCACCCCGCGGTTGACAGTCCCATTTCTATACAGGCTAAAAAAAATACCTGATGCGTCTGGTGTGCCTCTCTTGCAGGGCTGTGTTGATCTGTACTCTCAAATGTTTATTTTTTAGCAGCGTGGACGTATTGTCTTCAAGCTACTGTAGTCTTCTTCTTCTTCTTCCTCTCTCTCTCTCTCTCTCTCTCTCTCTCTCTCTCTCTCTCTCTCTCTCTCTCTCTCTCTCTCTAACGGTGTTAACTGAGTGTCCCCAACTTTACTCCAAAATCTGATATTCTCATCATCATCACGTGCCCTGCCAACTGGCGTAGGCGCTCACGCAATCTCCCCAGATCACGATCCCTGGTTGCCTGGAATAGCTCTCTTGATAATATCCCTTTATGCTATTGTTTTAGCCCATTCAGCATCATTTCTCTTGGTCTGCCTCTATTCCTTTTCCCCACTGATCTTTCCAGTTGCCACGATGTTCTCAAATATCTCTCTTTTTATTAAGTGGCCAAAGCACAGTGTTTGTCTCATTCTGTACTGTTGCATACAGAGATCTACTTTCATTAGGTTCTTTCAAGCAATCGTTGTTAGTTACTCTGACAGTCCAAGGTATTCGTATCATTTCCCCCTTTGTCTGCCTCTGAAACTGAGTGATACATAGGTTAGCTACACGATGTCTAAATCTCTATCTCGTTCCCCTTCTCTCTCTCTCTCTCTCTCTCTCCTTTCTTTCTTTCTTTCTCTCTCTCTCTCTCTCTCTCTCTCTCTTGTGTGTCTTTTTCCTTAATAATGGAGCAATACATAGGTTGGCTGTAACACATCGTGATATCCTCAGCTGTACAGACGAATGTGTGATCGTTAATAAAAACAACAGCAACAATAACAAATAACATATGCCAGTACACCTACAGCTGACACAACAATGGCTGACATCTCTGTAACATCAAAATATCCGTCTCTTCTCCGACCTTGATAGTAATCAAAGTAGCTAACGAATCCTTTTCATGCCAGTAGCATGAATGTTATATGGTGGTGATCTCGTCAGCATCATACCGGCCATCTTTACTTCCCATGACGTTACCCGATAGCTATTATAGCTGGGCTGACCAAGCAATGAGACAAGGTCAGTTCTCAAAAATAAAAACCCTGACTCGTGGCGGATTCAGCCCATAATTTTCGACCCAGCAGACGAGAGCCTACCCAACACCCCCTCGCATCTTCCATAATGTTACTGACAACTCGCTAACAATATAAGTGTTACTTCTTCTTCTTCTGCTACTGCTTCTTCTGCTGCTTCTTCTTCTGCTACTGCTTCTTCTTCTGCTTCTTCTTCTCCTTCTTTTGCTGCTGCTTTTCTTCTTCTTCTTCTTTTGCTGCTGCTGCTTTTTCTTGTGTGATCCTTCTGTCAGGAGGCTGGTAGCCTTTATGAAGGCTATCGTGCAGTCCAGAAACTCCTAGTGTTGTCTTCATTGCTGGAGGAACAGGCCAGATTGTGTCTCTGTTGGCAGCGTACAGACGTCTCTGTTGGCAGCGTACAGACGTCTCTGTTGGCAGCGTACAGACGTCTCTGTTGGTAGCGTACAGACGACAGTGTTGGAGCACACGCTCAACATGTTTCTGATGCCAAGTTGCAGGGGACACGTGTTTCTGTTTCCTACACCGCAAAAAATGTTACTGATAACCAGCTAACAGCAGACATAATGTTACTGGAGGCTCACTAACAAAAACACCTTCAGACAGTTTTGTTAATGTCTGGCTTAGAGTAAAAACAATGTTACTGACGATGCGCTGACATCAGACATAAAATTACTGCTAAAATTAGACAGTGTCGCTAACAGTGAGAAAAATGTTACTAGACACTCACCAACAATAAATATGATGTTTACAATTGGCTAACATTAAGCCCAATGTTACTGATGACTCCCTAATAATAAATACAATGTTACTGATGACCTACTGAACGCAGACATTAAGTGACTCGTTAACTTTATATAACATTTTACTGACAACTAACTAGCAGTTTTTTTTTTTACACAATGTTACTGATCAAAAAGTAATATTATAATATAAAACAACACAAACTGGCAATAAATAACATGGCAGCATGTTGGTCTGAAACCTGGCGATAATAAATTAATGCAATAATGAATTATTTGTGATGTGGTTGAGTAACTGGTGAAGTTATCGAGGGAGGGGCTTTAGGCGAAGGGTCACAGGCGAGTGAAATATTCACAGTTGAGATTTTTTTTAATGGAAAGGGGGGGGGGGGGGGGGGGAAAAGAGACGACTAATGGATACATAGATTATTGGAGATGTGCATATCAGGAAGGTGTGGCTAGATCGGAAATGGATGAATTGTGAATGAATGGATAAAAAAGATGAATAGATGGATGAGGAAATCTTTAAGCAGAGGTTGGATGGATAGTTGGGTGGATGAAGATGGGGAGATTATGAATGACCGGATAGATGGGGAATGGGTGGAAGAATTGATAGACGGCGAATGGGTGGATGGATGTTTCAGGAAGCTTGGATAGGTGGGGGAATGGGTGGATGGATGTTTCAGGAAGCTTGGATAGGTGGGGGAATGGGTGGATGGATGTTTCAGGAAGCTTGGATAGGTGGGGGAATGGGTGGATGGATGTTTTCAGGAAGGCTTGGATAGGTGGGGAATGGTGGATGGATGGATGTTTCAGGAAGCTTGGATGGTTGGGGAACATGGAGGTGGATGGATGGATGTTCAGGAAGCTTGGTTAGGTGGGGGAAATGGTTGGATGGATGTTTCAGGAAGCTTGGATAGGTGGGGAATGGGTGGATGGATGTTTCAGGAAGCTTGGATAGGTGGGGGAATGGGTGGATGGATGTTTCAGGAAGCTTGGATAGGTGGGGGAATGGGTGGATGGATGTTTCAGGAAGCTTGGATAGGTGGGGGACACATGGGTGGATGGAGTGTTTCAGGAAGCTTGGATAGGTGGGGGAATGGGTGGATGGATGTTTCAGGAATTTGGATAGGTGGGGGAATTGGGTGGGGGAATGGGTGGCGGATGTTTCAGGAAGCTTGGATAGGTGGGGGAATGGGGGGGATGGTGTTTACAGGAATGCTTGGATAGGTGGGGGAATGGGTGGATGGATTTTCAGGAAGCTTGGATAGGTGGGGGAATGGGATGGATGGATAGTTTCAGGAAACTTGGATAGGTGGGGAGTTGGTGGATGATGGTTTCAGGAAGCTTGGCTTGGGGGGAAATGGGTGGAGTGGATGTTTCAGAAGCTTGGATAGGTGAGGGAATGGGTGGATGGATGTTCATAGGAAAGCTTGGATAGGTGTGGGAATGAATGGGGGGGAGATGTTTCAGGAAGCCTTGGATAGGTGGGGGAATGGGTGATGGATGTTTCATGAAGCTTGGATAGGTGGGGGAATGGGTGGATGGATGTTTCAGGAAGCTTGGATAGGTGGGGGAATGGGTGGATGGATGTTTCAGAGAAGCTTTGGATAGGTGGGGGAATGGGGGATGGATGTTTCAGGAAGCTTGGAATCAGGTGGGGGAATGGGTGGATGGATGTTTCAGGAAGCTTGGATAGGTGGGGGAATGGGTGGATGGATGTTTCAGGAAGCTTGGATAGGTGGGGGAATGGGTGGATGGATGTTTCAGGAAGCTTGGATAGGTGGGGGAATGGGTGGATGGATGTTTCAGGAAGCTTGGATAGGTGGGGAATGGGGTGGATGGATGTTTCAGGAAGCTTGGATAGGTGGGGGAATGGGTGGATGGATGTTTCAGGAAGCTTGGATAGGTGGGGGAATGGGTGGGTCAGCTTGAAGAAATAGGCTTCAGAGGCAAAGAATAGGAAACTGTCCCCCTTTTTAGTACTTACTGCTACAAGGCTTCTTGAAGTCGAGAACAGTAGTTATTTTGGCACAAACTGATTTCAGCATATGAGAGATCCCCCCCCCCCCCCTTTTCCCGTTGTTTCTACAAGATATAGGAAGTGCTTGCCTAGGAGAGATACACGTTTCCGCAAGAAATAACAGGTGTCCCATTCCCCTTTTCAGAATAAATCAGGTGCTTCTCCAGGATTTGATGGATGTTTCTCCAGGAAATGGCATATTTTTCAAGAACATAACATATGTTTCTCCAGGATATGGAAACTGTTTCTTCAGGATCCGACAACTGTTTTTCCAGACTATGACAACTATTTCTTCAGGACATGACAGCTGTTTCTACAGGATATGAGAGCTGATTCCTCGGGAGATACGACAGTGATTGGTCAAGAAAATTCTACATTTGTTCAGGATGTGACAGCTGTTTCTCCAGGAAACACTGTATTTCTTCAGCATGTGACAGCTCTTTCTGCAGGTCACACTATATTTCCTCAGGATGTGACAGCTGTTTCTCCGGGGAATGCTTTATTTCTCCAGGTCATGTTTCGTTTTTCCAGAATGTGACATGTGTGTCTCCTGGATACGATAGAGATGTTTTTCCAGAGTACGAGAGATCGTCTTCCAGGAAATGAAAAATGTTCTGTTCTTCTAACACAAGATCTAGAAGCTTCTGGAAAGCATGGACATAGACGATTGGTTATGATATGCTTTGAGTAAATCCTTCAGAAGCATCTCCATATCCAGGCTCTTGGTGATATGCTTACAGAAGAGGGCCCCAAACATCCTGCTGTTGGTGCTGTAGAGCGACGGGAGGCACATCAAGAGGCGGGAGTAGTGCATCACGTCCCTGGGCCTGGAGACGCAGACGTGCTGTTGCAGGAGTTGCTGGACCACCGAGCTGATCTGGTCAATCTTGTTAGGGCTACTTAATCCTGGATAACCTGGGGAAAAAAAGAAGGACACATGGTTAGTTAACTGAGGTGCTGGGTGCCTCGTGCTGTAGTTTGAAGTGTGTTAGGAAATGAAGAAGCAGAAAGACTAACTGCTGCTGGACCACCTTGTGGTAAACAGATGCATGGCAATCTAGATTTGATGAAGGTCTTTTTAGAGCCAGTAATCGATGCAGAAGCGCGAACTGATTATTACGGTCGCACCTAAAATGGGGTCCCAGAATCCGCACAGGGTAGTGATGGGGGTAAGAGAGAGATAGAGAAAGAGAGAGAGAGAGAGAGAGAGAGAGAAAAGGAGAGAGAGAGAGCGAGAGAGAGAGAGAGAGAGAGAGAAAGAGAGAGCGAGAGCGAGCGAGAGAAAGACCCGCAACAGTTGGTCTGCCTTGGCAAGACCAGACCAGCCCTATCTTTTCAACAAAGACGTGAGAAACGGCAGCTAAATTTGTAAATAAATGTGAGGTCAAAGGTATTTTGTTTCCCAAATATACGCCCTCAGATTGGAGACAGCGCCAACCAGAATCCATTGTGATCCAAGGCCACAAACGCTGCAGTGTTTATCCCTTACACAGAATAGCCTTACGGGGGAGATGTTGAAATTACCGACCACACAATCCTGGGCACGAACGGCGGTCTGGCTTTGGGCAGGGATCGGTATGTTTGGGGAGTTATTTTCGGACGTTCTGACAACATCGAGGAAGAGATTTTTGGGGGGAATACAAATGTCTAATTGTGGATGTTTGCTTGTTTGTTAAAGGGGCTGGCAAGAATGCAGGGACACTAACCGGAAAAGACAAATTAATCCATCAGCTGTTTCCAAAAAGAAGGTTGGTTGCGATGCATCTCCAACACGCTCAATTCTTCGACCTTGATGTACATACAGTGCATTTTCAAACTGCAGTTTGTCCATCCCTTGATGTTTCCTGCCACTTGTATCGCTGTCTGTTTCTTGCTCTCGTGCCTTCAACTGTTCCAACCAGTACGGATTTTTAATATGGATGAAATAATTCACCTGTCTCTTTTCATTTCCTTCAGCAACACTCTATTTTTCATTCCCAGTTTCTTCAGTACCGCTTTATTTCATTTGATTTGTTTCCATTACATACATTTTATCCTCTTCGCTACATCGAAATCTCGGAAGACGGTAGGATTTTTAGAAAACCTATGAAGACAGTAATGACATTGTTTTGCCAGAAACCATGCCCTTTGGCGCGGTACTATGGCGCATTGGCCTGGATTCATTTAGGGCTAGACTTATACCACAAGATAGTTCGACTATTCGTTTTAACTTCTTAGAGGTGTGCGATGTTGTCAGCAACACATCGGCTGCCTTTATTTCCCAGGACTTACCTGGTAATCATTTAAAGGGAAGTCAAGTTTATTTTTGAAGAAAAAAAATCTGGCTCAAGTGGTGAATACAAACATTTGTGTGTGGGGTGGATGGGGGTTTAAATGACGCTACAGAGATAATATGGTTCAAGGTAAAAACATGAAGTCTGATTTATATCTGTGTCCTGAGTTATGACACTGTCGGATATGCCCACAGTGGAATGTAGGGCACCTGATAAAGTTGCTCTGTGTCGATATTATCTTAGAGCTTGTTGACAGTAAACACACTCGGCGAGTTCTTAAAGTTGAGGGTCAGATTTAAAAACAAAACTATGGCACGCTGTTTTGAGGCCACCAGATCGTACAAGGACACGGACACAATAAATACTGTTGTAACATCCTTAAACATCACGGGAGATTGGCTAGTCAACAGCATCTTATCTCCAAAACTAGGCATTCGCCGAGGCGTAGCGGCTAGACGCTCGCGTGCGGATCAAAGGTCTTGGGTTCGCTCCCTGGCGGAGCCGGACTTTTTTCAAAAATGACCTTGAATTCCTAGGTCGACCCAGCCTTGAATGGGTACTGGGTGCAGTCCCTATAAGTAAAGGCGACCGGGGTGATGCTGACAACATCACCCATCCTGTGTCGATTGGTCTATAAAAATATAGGTCTAGCCCTATATGCCCTATACGCCTAAAGGCAGTTGGGGAAAAAGGTCTTTTCTTTACTTATCTCCGAAATTGAAATATTTTGGCCATGCCAAGCGCCGATGTGGGTTGGAAAGGACAGTAGCGAAAGACACGAAGACCAACGTGGGCACAAGTGACACCTGTGAAGATGGACACCGGATACAAGTAACACCTTGGGGAGAAAAATGGACGAGGCAGGAGTGCTGGTTTAAGACAGTTTTTTTCTAGGCAAGCTGAGATGACAGTGACGACGTTCTGCAAAGGAAGCCATTCGTTTTGGTACAATGAACACATCTTAGCCAATTAGTAACCATGGAAATGAGGGGTCTGAGAAAAGCTGTAGAAGTGACCAGAAGAGACAAAATCAGGAATGAGTCATACAAGATAAAGTCGGTACAGAACCAATTCTAAATTAGAAAGACAGTAAATCAAATGGTTTGCCCACTCGGAGAGAATGCATTCTGATGAGGGGGCGTAGAGCAAGAGGTAGACCAAGAAAAAATGGAAGGATAACATCAGAGAAACTCTACAGTACCACCATGTGTTTTTGGTCGAAGCAGCCAGAGGGCACGAGCAGGACCTTATATCTCCCTCGACACCTAAAGGGGTAAAAGAGGTCGTAAAAAAGAAGAAAGCCAATATATTTGGCACAAAGAAACTATACTACAATTATAGCTTATACTGCTCACAGTAGGTTGAACGTGGTCTAAGATTTTTATTTTGTTTTCCATAAATGGACGAACAGACGGAGCACCAAAAACAATGACTGTAGATTCCCCTCCACATTACCCAATTCATTCAGCCCGACCTGTGGTTGATTTCTTAGGCATGCCAGATACAAGTAACCATCTCCGGCCTATACGCACTGTGATTGACCGTTCATTCATGCTTGCTGATCTTTTACGCCGGCAGCCTTGACTTCCCAGAACTGCATCTGATAACCACTCAAGGCTCGGTCGACCTGGGAGCCAATGTTTTTTGGGGGGAAAAGTCCAGCTAAGTCAGGACCCGAACCTACGACCTTTCGATCTGCAGGCGGGAGGAAATATTAATAATAATAATAACAATGACAACAACAAACAACATACGGTATTTCAGGACAGCCGCAAACGTAAGGGTAAACATTTAAATATCACGGAAGGTAAGACAAGACGATCCAAGAGAAGGGCGACCTACAAGGACGTCTGGGAGAGATAAGAAGGTACAAAGGTCGAGTTATTCCAGTCACGAGGCGCCTGTGTGAGTGTGTGTGTGTGTGTGTGTGTGTGTGTGTGTGTGTGTGTGTCTGGTGTGTGTGTGTGTCAATGGTAGCAGTTTCATGCCCTCTTATTACATTTTCCGGCCCAGATGCACACGGTTAGTCTACGTTACAGGGGTGTCACATTGTATTGTCTCCGGTGCTAGCACCGGTGATGTCGCATGTTCTATATTACACGACGTCACCGCTTTTAACGACTCCACAACATCTAGAACTGGCCCTAAACCCAACTGCCCCCCCCCCCCCCCCAACCCAGCCTAAGTCCCACAAGAGACCCATGGTTTCAGAACTGTTCACATTTTGTACTGGGCCCTCGAAACGGCCTTAGCGGAGTAGGGGGTCCTAAAAAAGAGGAGGGATACAAGGAGGGATACAATTTACACTGTCTACTGTCACAAAAGTCGACAAGCTTGCATTTTCGCAGCGTTAGTTCATCTAGCGACAGGACTAGCTGAATCCAACGAAGCAGTCATTCGGCAGCCACCTAACGAATAACACACATCGCACAAAGCTTTGCGAAGACAAAACAACGTGAAACCCCTGTAACATAGCCTATCCTGAGTGACAAGTGAGCAAGCATGAATGAAAGGTCAACCAGTTTGTGTTTGGGCAGAAAAACGTATTAAGAACCGTTCAATGTAACCTGGTGGCAAAATATCGAAACCTTAAGGTTTTGCCCAATTCACTCACCCCCCCCCCCCCACAAAATATCTTCATTTAGGGTGAAGGGCTGAGCTGCCCCCGTTTAAACGTATTTTTTTAATATATATTGAATATTATTTCAAGTACACGGTCATTTGTGTTTGTCATTACACACAAAACAGTAAAAGCTGGTTAACACCAACTCGCTTAAGACCACTCAGTTACCATGAATACAATTGTAATCCCAGCAGGTATTATTGCAGTTAAAACTCGTTAACACAAATTCGTTTAAGACAAACTTAAGACAAAGGGACCGAACCCTAGACCTTCTGACTCACTGGCGAGGGGTTAGCTCCTGCGCCACCCCCGTTTCCCCTAACTTAGTTTAGATATAAGTATAGTGAGGGTGAAAGCGGAGGAGAAAGCGAGAGAAGACGGACGATCTAAATAAAAGTTAAGTAAAGGACCATTTTCCCCGTATTGGGCATATAGGGCTAGACCTATATTTTATAACCAAACAGCACTTGGTGGGTGATGTGGTTACAATCAAGCCGGCCGCCTTAACTTCCCAGGACTTTACCTGGTACCCACTCAAGGTTGGGTCGGTCTGGGAGCCAAGGTCATTTTAAAAACAATCCGGCCCTCATCAGGAACCGAACCCACGACCTTCCGATCCGAAGGCGAGCGTCTAGACCAGGCAACTCACAAGACCTAAATAAGGAAGCTTTAAAGTTATAGTCTGCTCAAGGTTATGAGAAAATACAAAGACATCGGTTGTTCAAGGTCGGCGGAAACTGAACAAGCGGGCACGTGTCTGCGAATTGTAGGGAGAGTTTCTACGAGGGCAAGGGAGGAGGAGAGGACAGCAAATTGTCGTTTTATAGAAATAGACAGAAAGCTACAAAGATAGAAAGATTGTTATAGCGAGTGAGATAGATAGAGATAGATAGAGAGATAGATGAGATAGAGATAGATTAGATAGATAGGAGTTGCAGAGGAGAGAGAGAGAAAGAGAGAGAGAAAGAGAGAGAGAGAACCGTGAGAAAGAGGAGAGGAGTTGCACAAGAGGGATTATGTATTTAGAAAAAAAAAACGATGAGAAGAGAAGAGAGAGAGATAGAGAGAGATAGAGAGAGAGAGAGAGAGAGAGAGAAGGGTAATGCAGAGCGAAGGAAGATGAGAGCGATCGACAGAGGTATACAGAAGAGGAGCGAACGAGAGAGTAAGTGAGTGGAAAAGGGGGGGGGGGAGAAAAACCTAAATAAATTGAGATTTAGTTGTGTTTCAGACAGACAGATAGATAGACATACAGATAGATAGACATACAGATAGATAGACATACAGATAGATAGACATACAGATAGATAGATAGACATACAGATAGATAGATAGACATACAGATAGACATACAGACAGACAGACAGACAGACAGACAGACAGACAGACAGACAGACAGACAGACAGACAGACAGACAGACAGACAGACAGACAGACAGACAGACAGACAGACAGACAGACAGACAGACAGACAGACAGACAGACAGACAGATAGATAGATAGATAGATAGATAGATAATAGATAGATAGATAGATAGATAGATAGATAGATAGATAGATAGATAGATAGATAGAGCTGCGGGGCCGAAAGAGGCGGCCATAAACAAGATAGTGAGACAATGGGGATAGTTTCATCATTCCGCATAACCATGGGGATAGTTTCATCATTCCGCATAACCATGGGGATAGTTTCATCATTCCGCATAACCATGGGGATAGTTTCATCATTCCGCATAACCATGGGGATAGTTTCATCATTCCGCATAACCATGGGGATAGTTTCATCATTCCGCATAACCATGGGGATAGTTTCATCATTCCGCATAACCATGGGGATAGTTTCATCATTCCGCATAACCATGGGGATAGTTTCATCATTCCGCATAACCATGGGGGATAGTTTCATCATTCCGCATAACCATGGGATAGTTTCATCATTCCGCATAACCATGGGGATAGTTTCATCATTCCGCATAACCATGGGGATAGTTTCATCATTCTGCATAACCATGGGATAGTTTCATCATTCTGCATAACCATGGGGATAGTTTCATCATTCCGCATAACCATGGGGATAGTTTCATCATTCCTCATAACCATGGGGATAGTTTCATCATTCCGCATAACCATGGGGATAGTTTCATCATTCCGCATAACCATGGGGATAGTTTTTCATCATTCCGCATAACCATGGGGATAGTTTCATCATTCCGCATAACCATGGGGATAGTTTCATCATTCCGCATAACCCATGGGGATAGTTTCATCATTCCGCATAACCATGGGGATAGTTTCATCATTCCGCATAACCATGGGGATAGTTTCATCATTCCGCATAACCATGGGGATAGTTTCATCATTCCGCATAACCATGGGGATAGTTTCATCATTCCGCATAACCATGGGGATAGTTTCATCATTCCGCATAACCATGGGGATAGTTTCATCATTCTGCATAACCATGGGGATAGTTTCATCATTCCGCATAACCATGGGGATAGTTTCATCATTCCTCATAACCATGGGGATAGTTTCATCATTCTGCATAACCATGATATGCTCCATCACGGGAGTCCTGGCAGGAGCTTCACCGTAACAGACAGATGCGCCTGAAATCTCTGCAACGTTCAGACCAACAACCCTCCAGCAGAGCTGCCAGTGGGATGTTTTTCTTCAAATCCCAGCTTAGCTAAACCGAAACTCAAGCAATACACAGACAACAAACAAAAAACCCAGATTGTTAAAATGGAACAAAATTTATAATAACGAAACGAAACTTTTACCACTTTCAAACAAGGACATATTCCATAAAAAGATTTCCCCAAAATGTCATATAAAAACCTAGATCTGGGGGGAAACCCCAGCATTGGTAGCCCTGCCCTCTAGTGCCGACCTCGTTGCACTCAAGCAGGCGCGACCCGCATTCCTTCCCTGCCAGTGTCAGAAGGTCAAGGAATTTGCGGTAAATGTCCGACCTTTGCCCTTGGTGCCCTCTAGTGGCCCTGGGGGGGGGGGGGGCTGGGCACCTCTAGGTTACACGGGGGTCGTGTGGTGGCAAGGTGAATGCCCTCTGGGGCTGTCGACCACGCCGTTTCGTCCGTGGAGGGCACTCGTGTGAGTCTCTCTCTCTCTCTCTCAATCTCTGTATGTAAAGAAAAGGGGGATATGGGATATGGGGGGGGGGGGGGGGTTCCCGACTGTACATTTATTACAGACAGACAAACAAAGACAGACTTTTAGGTCAGCGAAACATGGTTATAGATTTCAGATAAATTAATGAAATTTATAAAAACGGCTCTGTTCGCGTTTTCTAGGCGCATCTACACACTACCTGACCTTCCATTTATACTTTCTCAGGCTCTTCTACGTCGGAGGGGGGCCGCGTTGTCTTCCCTCTAATTACATGCGTGTCGGTGTCACGTGTCCTATACACGACGACACAGCTTTCAAGGTCCCCAGAACATGTTGAACTGGCCCTAACCCAAACCCCCCTTACTCACAACCTCAGCCTAGGTCACACGAGAGACTCTTTTAGAAGAAAGCAGTACAGCGTGACACCCCTCTGATCTAGATCAGACTGAGAAAGTGTGGAGATGGGCTGGGAAACGTGAACAGGTCCATATCAACTCCACGGTGTCACTTTCGTGCTTCCATTTTTGAGGCGACATGAATAAACACTCTTCCTTTGCCCCTAACAAGCATGTCAAAAATACGACTTATTATGTGTGTTTTCTTCGAAGTCTGGGAGCATCGGCTTTACAGGAGAAAAAAACAAGTCTGCATACAAATAAGTCACATCTGTATAATAGATTTGCATGCAAAACTCAAATGCCGAAAAAAGACCAAATTCCAGAGGTGAACGAACAACCATAACATTCCTCCACAGATGACAGCGGAAACAGAAGAAGAAGAAGAAGAAGAAGAAGAAGAAGAAGAAGAAGAAGAAGAAGAAGAAGAAGAAGAAGAAGAAGAAGAAGAAGAAGAAGAAGAAGAAGAAGACACATAAAGAATTATGTACTCACCAGAGTTAAACAGAACCAACATGCGGAAGAAATCATACTCTTTCGCATCTACTGACATCTGCTGGCACTTTGTTATGAAAGTCTGCAGACCCTCAACGGCTTTCATAGTCGGCTCGTCTTGTGACGGAGATACCTCATCAACTGACGGGTCACCTGCAGTTGAAGGCGTCACTGCAAATTGGAAATTGCTCTCAGCCATGTAGAGAAGCACAATCGGAGCCCAGGAATTGAGGATCAGAGTTATTTTATCGTTGTGGGGCAGAGCTGAGAACTCGGGGATGGATTCAGCAAACTGGATGATTTTCACCAACCAGTCAGAGACTCTGCGGCTGACTGGAAACAGGTTCTTCTTGGCCAGTTGGACTTTGGTGGTTCCGGTTATTGGCGTTCTTGGGAAAGAGTCCGAAGCAGGGGAATCACATATTCTGTCTGTGGTAAGATTTGGTGTCGACTCGCTCATAAATGAGGTGGTGTGGTGGTGGTGGTGTTTTCCTACACTGAGGAGATTCCGAAGAAGAGAAAACTCACCGTTGTGTCCTTCTGCGGGACTTGGGGGGTATCTAGGCATAGATGGCATAGGTGGGGATGAAGATGGGAATGACGATGAGGAGGAGGAAGAGGATATTGAAAAGGAAGATGTTGAGCTGAACTTTGCTGGAAGGGATGAGGACAGGAGAGATGAGTTATTGTTCATAGAAGCAACATCAAGGAAAGCGGACACTGCTGATCTCTTGCGGGATGTTCTTTTACAGCTAAGATCCATAGGCTGTGTTTGGCAGTCAGAGAAGGAGTCCAAAGAGGTATGAGATTCACGCGAAGAAGGTCTGGAACTATAGCTAGATGAACTGTGGACACTGAGACATGGCGATACTGATCGATGTGAGGAGTCTCGTTCTACATATAGACTGTTGGTGGTTACTGACGACTCTTTAAGTAGGGATGGATGTTGTAACGCTGACGTGGTCAGGTGTGAATAGGCTGCAGGGACAACTCCATGAAGTACTGACTGTAAAGTTGTAGGATGAGATGGAGTGTCCAGGCTGGGTCCATGTTTGGAGTATGTCCTGAAGGACCTTTCTGGGGTTGGGGTACGAGAAGGCGTGTTGACATCAAAGGAATAACAGGTGTATGAGTCAGTTGGTGTCGTTAGTACGTGTTGCATGACAGGGCGATAAAACATGGCCTGTTGCGATGCATGTAAAGAAGTAGGTCGGTGTAACACCTCCATTATGTTCTCAAACCTGGAGAAACACAGAGAATAAGTAAATAAACATCAGTAGGTTGTATCTTAAACAAGGACACATGTGCTGCATATCTGGTAAGCTGCCATATTTCTTTGCACCTCTCGGTGCTTTATTAATATCCTACCCCAAACAGGGAAAATCCACAGGTCACGGGAGTTTTAATATTTCAGGAGGTGGTAGATAGACTGCATGCAGTCGTGGGACCTATGCTGCACTCTATCGTGGAACGTAAGTGGGTTAGGGCCAGTTCTAGATGTTTTGGGGTCGTTAAAAGCATCGGAAAGCCGGGAAACCCAGCCTAACCACTCTCTAAAATGTCGGATTATCATGTGACGTCATCTGGGGATGGGGGATGGGGGTAGTATATTAATAAAGTAGCCACCTTTTAAGAGCACTGTTATAGAGCGCAGAGGCGTCAAACCCCGATGGTTCAGGCCCGTTGATTCCCCTTTCCCCCTGCCTCCTAGCCATTTCAGAGTTACAAGCTACGTCACAGAGACGCTATCGACGGAAGCAGGCGTCTAGTTACAAGCAAAATTGAGCAAAATATTTTCAGCTGGAAAAGGATACATCCTGCTTATATTCTGAGCCGAAAAACAGGACACTCCACGGTACATGTCTTCTAGTTCACCCCATCTCGGCGACTCCGAGATTTCATGTGCAGTTCCCGACAAATTCCAATATTATAGAGTGGGGTCAGGGTAAGAGTTAGTCGGCGTTTATTTCACACCCGACACCCCTATATTATTGGGCTTTCCCGAGAACTTTCCACGAAATCCCAGAGTCCCCGAGATCGGCTGAAATAAAATAAAGGTACTCATTCAACCAATATTTTAAGACGAAAACAGGACAACCCAAACAATTTACCCGTCTCGCTGACTTTTTTGGGGGATGCCCCATCCTATGTTTTCTTTATTACCGGGATGGGGTGAGTGGTTACTTACTTACTGGACAATGATATTAAAACCTGAACTATTGCCGATAGGAACAAAACAATATGCTCTTTGTCTGCAGTGGAGGGGGAAAAATGCGACAATGAAACTTCTTAACTCATTAAAGGCATTTATCTTGTATGAAACTATACAATATAATGGCATCCGTCAGTCCCTGGTGATTAGGGAGATGTACCGCTGGCTTTGTGAATAGCACCTGCTAAAACTGTAAAGACTGATACCGGAGTGACAGTCATCTTCCACCAAGTATCTACATGCCTTTTCTTTTAATAATTTCACAATTTTTAGCCGACTTTATTGATTTTGTATTACTGCCGCGGAACCACTAGCATACGCTCACGGCACCCCAAGGTGCCTCAGCACCCAGTTTGAGAACCGCTGCGTTAACGCATCGTTAGCCCGACCCGGTGACGTCAGCAGCACACCTGACAGCTGGAGCCGAACGTGCTCTGCCCGAATGGACACGCACACTAAAGTAGATACTTCCTGGCTATAAAGCCGATTTACTCTGTGACGTCTACTCTCTATAGCTGGCTGAGCTATAAAATCGAACAAGATCCTACGGATGTAGCTATACTCGAATGTTCTACTGGAGCTAATTCCTAGATTCTTTACAGAATGTTACAGAACCAAACCCAGCATTTTTTGGCTGCTGTGGTTTTTCTAGGCAAATTTTACGTTCAGTAGTTTGCCATTGCTTACTGAACAGTCAGCTGTCGGTACCAACGCAAGACAAACCGCCAAAGCTGGGATCGAACCCGGCACCCCGACATTAAGAGGCGCGTTCGCAACGCCTAAGCCACAGACGCCGACTTATTACTACTAATACTAATAATAATAATACAGGACTTTTAAAAACGAACTGCTGCTACCACAGCCACCACCACTTTTACTACTACTACTACTACTACTACTACTACTACTACTACTACTACTACTACTACTAATACTACTACTACTGCTACGACTACTACTATTACTTCACTGCTTTTGCAAAAAAACTACTATTGCTGATGTTAGTATTATTACTACAGTATTACTACCACTGTTACTAGGACTACTACCGCTGCTACTTCTACTACTACTACTAATTTTATAACTACTACTACCACTCAACTACAACTACAACTACTACTTAACTACTACTACTTGTAAGTAAAGAAGTAAAGGACCCGTTTCTACACCTTTAGGCGTATTGGGCATATAGGGCTAGACTTCAATTGTATACACCAATCGTCACTTGATGGGTGATGTAGTCAGCAAAACTACTACTTGGAAACAAACTGCTATTATGACTGAACGTCTACAACTACTACCACCACCACCAACCACCACAACAACCACCACCACCACCACAACTGCTACTACTGTTATAACTACTGCTGGTGCAACTGAACTACTGCTACTTGTTCACATGTTCAACTAAATTACTATTACAAGTAGTGATCTACTGCTACCACTAAACTACTTTTACCGCTGAACTACTACTACTACTACTACAACAATTGCTACTACAACTATTGCTACTACTACTTGACTACTACTATGACTGAGCGCCCACTACTACTACTACTACCACCACTTATACCACAATCACTACAATTATATCAAAACTGCTTTGCTTTTACACCTGTATTACACGCGTTACCTTGTTATACATTACATTATAGATTCAGGACTAGTGGGAGAACAACTAAAATACTTACAATTAAAAGTTGTAAAAATATCCCTGTGATAGAGTTTGGCTTATCCAGATGCGAACACACGACCTCCGTGAAGTTAGGCTTGTCCACCTGTAAACTGTTCTGTAAGAATCAGTCACTGGGTCACGTCTTTTAAAGATCACAGACAGAATTAAGTTAGCCCGGACTTCCTTTTCGTCCCAGACTAGCGCAACCTTTTCTTTGGGGCTGCATTTCAGACCTGGTCCTAAGTGTTAACCTGCACGGAGTCGGCCAATCAGAGATCGCGAGACGGGACGGGTCGCCTTTGCTGCTCTTTGCACATGAATGGGTAAGGATCTCCCCTCTCTCCTCTTTCCTATGGCATGACGCACATGCTTTGAAAGTTTATTTTTAGCCAGACATGAAGGTAAGGGGGGAAGAGCCCGGGAAGGTCGAGAATGTAGCGTAGCGGCACTGCGGATACACCAGGTCATTGCCTCGGAATGTCTGTCTCCCCTGACTTTTTTTTTTAAATCTTGTTCAAGGGCGCGACGGATATCGCCGAGAGCTGGCGAACAAAGCCGAGAGTGGCGAAGCCAGGTCGATATAGTTGGGCAAAAGTTTCTTTTCCAGATCTGGCCGCATTCCCCCTCGAGTCAGGGCAGGTATATTTAGCTCCAACATGGCCATCCTGTGACCCTTTGGCATTCGCGTGCGGTGGATGGAGGCTAACTACAAAGGGAATGTACGTCAGAGTTGCTTGTTGCTTTGCCGGAAAAGAAAAATCATCACGCTCATCTAGCATCGAGAAGCTGCTGGCCGAACGGTTAGAACGCTGAGCTCTCACTCGGAAGACCAGGGTTCGAATCCTCTTAAAGGCTGGAGATTTTTTCTGCCAGGAAAAGGTAAAACCCTCACCTGCACAGTCGTGGCGACAGCACTAGTCACGCGACCGTAAATCCTTAGGCTCAAAGACCCCTGCCTACACCGCAAAAGTGGTATAACAAAGGAAGTAATTGGCGTAAGCTAGTTTTCAACTAGCATCCCCCAAGGAGAGCTTTAGGCTATAATTGTGACTAGGTTGTGTGCGCACGCTTTGTTATGTCAGGGTGCAGGGTTCGATCCAAGCTGCGGACTATGTCTTTTGTTGATTTCGACAGTGGTACCGAGAGCTGATCGTCCAGGGGCAATGGCGCACTACTGAAAGTAAAATGTGCCCAGAAATATAACAACTACTAAAAATAACTAGGGTTGGTTCTGCAACCTCCTGTTAAGAAGAAACAACTAACTTTATGTGCGCCATACACAATAACACATAAATAAACAGAGGGGGGGCCATTTAGATCGTAGAAATATATATAAAACCAAACAGACAGTGTATTGATCGGCCCTGATAGAAGGAAGTGGAAAGATAGAGGGACACAACTGACAATATTAAAATCGAAAGCTATTATACTGAGCCGCGAAAATAAAGCCTGTGACCTTCAAGGTTAGCATTGCCCTCCATCAAGAGCCCTGAAAAGGACTCCAGAAGTGTTGATGCGATCAAAGGAGACAGACCCAAATACTGTCGTAGGCAGGTAGCTGCTTTGCTCAACAACAGCAACAACAACAAAAAGTCGTCACGTTACAACCAGCATCCGCCAAGGATGAGATTTAGGTTATAACTGTGACTAGATTACGTGTGCCATATAAAATGGCCTAGCATTGCACGCAACCCAAGAGCCTCGAAAAAGACTTCTGCAGTGTTGAAGCGATCAAAAGAGACATTCTCTAATACTGTCCCAACTGGCGACGAAGTCTTCTCCTGGCGAGCCAAAAGGCGCGACCCGGTCGCCGACGTTGTCAGGCGAAGGGTGCAGGGAAGTGGCGGCTAAGACACCACGCATCCCCCTATTTGAAATATTTACAAGAGGGCTAAGAAGAAGAAGAAGAAGAAGAAGAAGCAGAAGAAGCAGAAGAAGCAGAAGAAGAAGAAGTAGAAGAAGAAGAAGAAGAAGAAGAAGAAGAAGAAGAAGAAGAAGAAGAAGAAGAAGAAGAAGAAGAAGAAGAAGAAGAAGAAGAAGAAGAAGAAGAAGAAGAAGAAGAAGAAGAAGAAGAAGAAGAAGAAGAAGAAGAAGAAGAAGAAGAAGAAGAAGAAGAAGAAGAAGAAGAAGAAGAAGAAGAAGAAGAAGAAGAAGAAATAAAAGAAATAGAAGAAGAAGAAAAAGCAGCAGCAGCAGCAAAGTCCAGCCCTGAGAAAAAGCGAACCAACGACCTGGCGTCTAGCAGCTACGACACGTCTACTCCCCATATACTTTTAACGATGTTTAATCTTTGTATTGCTATGACCATCTTTTTTTTTTTTTTTTTTTTGATTTCTGTCCA